GACTGACTCACTCACTGACTCACTGACTCATAGAAATGTTTGGGGTGAACGAGTGGTAGTAGAGACTTGCGGTTTTTTCCATTCGATTCCAAATTTTATGGGAAAATTGGGAAAAATCCCAAAAGTTGAAAATTCCTCACCGTTTCCGAGAAAACCTACTTTATCTAAAAAAAAGGGGAACAAATTTCTCACCGTTTCCGAGCAAACCTACTCAATCTTCAAAAAAGGGGACCGACCGACTAAAAATTTTTATTCGCCCCATCGGTAGGTCTGGTCGAGACATTTCCAAAACTGTGCCGCAATCTGGTCCCCGTCACCGGCAACATCCTAAAAACGATATAATAATATATAAAAATACGCCTAAATTCAACAAAATCCACTCAATCTTCAAAAAAGGGGACCGACCGACTGAAAATTTTTATTCGCCCCATCGGTAGGTCTGGTCGAGACATTTCCGAAACTGTGCCGCAATCGGGTCCCCGTCACCGGCAACATCCTCAAAACGATTAAATAGGCCTAAATTCAACAAAATCCACTCAATCTTCAAAAAAGGGGACCGACCGACTGAAAATTTTTATTCGCCCCATCGGTAGGTCTGGTCGAGACATCTCCGAAACTGTGCCGCAATCGGGTCCTCGTCACCGGCAACATCCTCAAAAACGATAAAATAGGCCTAAATTTAACAAAATCCACTCTATCTTCAAAAAAGGGGACCGACCGACTAAAAATTTTTATTCGCCCCATCGGTAGGTCTAGTCGAGACATTTCAGAAACTGTGCCGCAATCGGGTCCACGTCACCGGCAACATCCTCAAAACGATAAAATAGGCCTAAATTCAACCAAATCCACTCAATCTTCAAAAAAGGGGACCGACCGACTGAAAATTTTTATTCGCCCTATCGGTAGGTCTGGTCGAGACATTTCCGAAACTGTGCCGCAATCGGATCCACGTCACCGGCAACATCCTCAAAACGATAACATAGGCCTAAATTCAACAAAATCCACTCAATCTTCAAAAAAGGGGACCGACCGACTGAAAATTTTTATTCGCCCCATCGGTAGGTCTGGTCGAGACATCTCCGAAACTGTGCCGCAATCGGGTCCTCGTCACCGGCAACATCCTCAAAAACGATAAAATAGGCCTTAATTTAACAAAATCCACTCTATCTTCAAAAAAGGGGACCGACCGACTAAAAATTTTTATTCGCCCCATCGGTAGGTCTAGTCGAGACATTTCAGAAACTGTGCCGCAATCGGGTCCACGTCACCGGCAACATCCTCAAAACGATAAAATAGGCCTAAATTCAACCAAATCCACTCAATCTTCAAAAAAGGGGACCGACCGACTAAAAATTTTTATTCGCCCCATCGGTAGGTCTAGTCGAGACATTTCAGAAACTGTGCCACAATCGGGTCCACGTCACCGGCAACATCCTCAAAACGATAAAATAGGCCTAAATTCAACCAAATCCACTCAATCTTCAAAAAAGGGGACCGACCGACTGAAAATTTTTATTCGCCCTATCGGTAGGTCTGGTCGAGACATTTCCGAAACTGTGCCGCAATCGGGTCCACGTCACCGGCAACATCCTCAAAACGATAACATAGGCCTAAATTCAACAAAATCCACTCAATCTTCAAAAAAGGGGACCGACCGACTGAAAATTTTTATTCGCCCCATGGGTAGGTCTGGTCGAGACATTTCCGAAACTGTGCCGCAAACGGGGCCACGTCACCGGCAACATCCTCAAAACGATAAAATAGGCCTAAATTCAACAAAATCCACTCAATCTTCAAAAAAGGGGACCGACCGACTGAAAATTTTTATTCGCCCCATGGGTAGGTCTGGTCGAGACATTTCCGAAACTGTGCCGCAAACGGGGCCACGTCACCGGCAACATCCTCAAAAACGATAAAATAGGCCTAAATTTAACAAAATCCACTCAATCTTCAAAAAAGGGGACCGACCGACTAAAAATTTTTATTCGCCCCATCGGTAGGTCTGGTCGAGACATTTCAGAAACTGTGCCGCAATCGGGTCCACGTCACCGGCAACATCCTCATAACGATAAAATAGGCCTAAATTCAACAAAATCCACCCAATCTTCAAAAAAGGGGACCGACCGACTGAAAATTTTTATTCGCCCCATCGGTAGGTCTGGTCGAGACATATCCGAAACTGTGCCGCAATCGGGTCCCCGTCACCGGCAACATCCTCAAAAACGATTAAATAGGCCTAAATTCAACAAAATCCACTCAATCTTCAAAAAAGGGGACCGACCGACTAAAAATTTTTATTCACCCCATCGGTAGGTCTGGTCGAGACATTTCCGAAACTGTGCCGCAATCGGGTCCCCGTCACCGACAACATCCTCAAAAACGATTAAATAGGCCTAAATTCAACAAAATCCACTCAATCTTCAAAAAAGGGGACCGACCGACTAAAAATTTTTATTCGCCCCATCGGTAGGTCTGGTCGAGACATTTCCGAAACTGTGCCGCAATCGGGTCCCCGTCACCGGCAACATCCTCAAAAACGATTAAATAGGCCTAAATTCAACAAAATCCACTCAATCTTCAAAAAAGGGGACCGACCGACTAAAAACTTTTATTCGCCCCATCGGTAGGTCTGGTCGAGACATTTCCGAAACTGTGCCGCAATCGGGTCCCCGTCACCGGCAACATTCTCAAAAACGATTAAATTGGCCTAAATTCAACATAATCTACTCTATCTTCAAAAAAGGTCACCGACCGACTAAAAATTTTTATTCGCCCCGTCGGTAGGTCAAGTCGAGACATTTTAGAAACTGTGCCACAATCGGGTCCCCGTCACCGGCAACATACTCAAAATCAATCATCAATTGTCATCAAGAACCTATAAAGCCCCAAAATCCGACTGACTGACTCCCTCACTCATCAATCAAGAACCTATATAGCCCCAATCCGACTGACTGACTCACTGACTGACTCACTCACTCACTCATAGAAATGTTTGGGGTAGGAGTGGTCGTAGAGACCTGCGGGTTTTTCCATTCGATTCCAAATTTAATGGGAAAATTGGGAAAAATCTCAAAAGTTGAAAATTTCTCACTGTTTCCGTGCAAAGCTACTCAATCTTCTAAAAAGGGGACCGAATGACTAAAAAATTTTATTCGCCCCATCGGTAGGTCTGGTCGAGAATTTCCGAAACCGTGCCGTAATCGGGACCCCGCCACCGGCAATTGGGCAATCATCATCAAGAATCTATAAAGTCCCAATCCGACTGACTGACTGACTCACTTACTCACAAAGAAATGTTTGGGGTCGAGGAGTGGTCGTAGAGACTTAAGGTTTTTTTCCTTTCACCTCTATCCTTGTCAAAGCAGTCTTCAATATTTTCCGGACCTTGTATGCACCCATTGACTGCCACAGTAGCCAATGCAATACAAGCTATCTATTTGGGCAGTAAAAGTAGCCTTATTATATGGTCAAAAGCGGTTAAATAGAGCTTTCAAAGAAACAGGACATTTACTTCCTTAGAAAATTTGCCTTTGCTCACCACGGACTTACTGAAAATACTTCGGCACGCGCTCCACACATGCGGGGGTCTGGGGGCGGAGCCCCCAGCGAGCAGCGCGAGTTCTAGATAGACTTGCTTCATCTACAAATAATACGATCTTGACCCTTGGAACTTTTTAACTTGTCGGGGCTGGGAGGCTCCGCCCCCCAGACCCTCCTTTCTTCAAGACAGAGGTAATCTGCCTGCAGAAAACTCGATTTTTCGCCGTTTTTTAGGTGTTTTTCGGCTATAAAAACTGAACAAGTTGAGCTAGGATGGTGAAATTTCGCGTGTGCCGAGCCAAGGACATACCCAAAAAGTGTGCAAAATCTCACCGAGATCGGCCGAGCCGTTCAGGAGGAGTAGTGCGGACACACACGCACGCACGCACACAGACAGGAAAAACTTTTCAACCCCACCTGAGTAACGGGCTTCGCTATCGCTCAGCCAATTATTTATTTATTTAACAACAATCGATGTAATTGGAATGACTTCACTTAATTCTAAATAGGAAAAATTGGAAATTGTTCTAAAATCAATGACTTTGCTTGTAGTGGAAACACATTTTTACAATAATCAATGTAATTGGAAATGACTTTACTTAATTCTGTTGCATTACGTGGGGAAATTACTGCACTTGAAGCTCAGTATCGTAGACCCTCCCTCAGACTGACTCTACTGGAGCTACAATTTACATCATAACATTTCCCCATCAAATATTATTACAAGAAAGACTTTCAAATTGTGTGAAGCTCTGCATTGACAACCTTTTGTCCGCTCTAGGCCAGATAGATTTGGCTGTTGCCTCAAGAGCTGTCACCAAATGTGATGAACAGTCTCATTGTGTGCCTCTACAAATTATGTCAACTCTGAATTCTGAATACCAAGGTGATGTTTGCATTGTGCAGTCATGCGATAAGCTTCAGTCTTGCCAAGAGCACTATCGCAGTTTTCCTTTTACCCATTTGTCTCCCATTTGTTATCTTGATTATAGAGAATATATAAAACATAAACGTGACTAAAAACATAATGGTTCAGGATCATAATGAGAACTTATCAGTCTTCAAGTTAAGGTTTTGTAATTGAATGTACCTTAGATAGTTGAACAAATAATACCAATAATACTATATGGCTTCAGAATATTACTGAATAAAGATAATTTAAGAAACCAAGTGGAAAAGATTTACAACAAAATTGTACAGACAGTATCGTGGACACTTGATCACCACAAACCAACCAAAGCTGCAATACAATATTGGAAACAACACGAGCAGCATTAAACTATGCAGTAGAACCTGAAACGAGTCTAGGAATTTACTTCATGAAAAACAGAAGCAAAAACGGGAAAGATACAATCACTATAAATCAATAATAAAATTAGAACTTTAATAAACAATATACACGTTGACTGAACAAACTTAAGACTCGACTAGACTTGAAATGGAGTTTGCCAAAAGAAGATGTATTTTGTTTCATGTATCATTGGCTAGTCAGGAACAGACTGTTACAATGGTTGTTCCCAGACGGATGGGTCTGGATTGCAGAGGAAATGTCCTCGGGGGCCAATTGCTGTCCGCTGCCCGTTGGCAAAAAGTGCCTTCACCTGCTGTCCTGCCATAGAAAATAATAACTTAATGGCTGGCCGCATTGCATAGGAGATCCTTGTGTGTGCGTAGACACAAGTAAGGTACTCACTGTAAACTTCCTCTTCGTCTTCTGCCTCTGCCTTTCCTGGTGTGCTCGGTTGGACCATGGGTGCCGGGGCTGCAGAGTTATTACAGGAAGCATCTTCTTCCTCCTCTGCATCTGCTGGTGCTGCAGATATATGGACACAGCTAAGCACATTGTATGCAAGGCCTCACTAAATTTCACTTCCAATTCTTAACTCACCCTCAGGCATTGCTTGTTCGGACTGTGCCAAAGTTGATGACTGGCAGGTGGATGAGTACAACACAATTTAAAAAAAACCATGATGATTGGAGGTTAAGGAGTAGACTTGATGACCTTGAAGAGGCGAGTCGTCAGTTGCGTCTGGAAGCAGCAGCACGAGTGGCTGAGTCCTTCCGCATCGCGCTTGTGCTTTCAAACGTGGAAATCCCCATAAAAACAATTATTGAGGCAGCCATGTCGAGTGGAGGTTAATACTGTGAACTTGAAAAGGCGAGAAAAGTAACTCGTCATTTGCATCTGAAAGCAGGAGCACGAGTGGCCGCATCCTGCCGCAACACGTCTGAGCTCTCAAACATGGGCATTTGTAAGGAAGCATTTCAAGGAATGCCTATTATTTATCCGGGGACACGAAAAGACTGCAGGTCTGCTACAAAACAAGAACAGAAGCAGAAGACGTCATTAACAGCTGACGCCGACAGCTGATTGCGCGGCGGGGAGAAGAACAAAAACTCCACTCCTGTTCAAACCCTGGATAATCTAGAAAGCGTTCAGCCATGGACCGACGTTTGCAGGTGAGATCATGAAATTTAGAATTCACTCTTGTCTTGCCTTTGGTCTAGCTCAGCCACAACAAGTAAGTTCCTGCCTAGTGTATCGCCCCTCTGGCACCCCTTTTGGCACCTGACACAGTGCACGTGTGTGTTTCAGTGGTCGCAATCCGTGCAAGTTTAAGGTTAGGTGTCGTTGCGTGTAGGGCTGTGATTTGTGTTAGAATGTGACTGTTTGAATACGATGTCGCTTGTCACTCTCTGTCGCCCTGGCTGTTTTGGGGCCCTTTATAGGAAATCTCATCGCAATGAAACACCTGTAGCCCTGTCCCAATGGCTCCATGCCTCCCTTGATATGGTTAAGTTACCTGTTGACCATTCATGAGTCAAGCATAAAGTTACGCTTGAAGACGTTACGCTTGAAATCAAGCATACTCTGGAAATTCCCCCACGTCTTAAGATAGGGGAAATCTGGGCAGATGAGCCTGTTACTTTTCATTTCAAGCGTAAACTGATTACGCTTGAAAACAGTGGGTAATACTACGCTTTAGTTTTACCAGTGAATAACGTCTAATAATCTGTCCCTCTCTTTTGCAGTGAAACATGTCGTCAGGGTTCGCTCACACTATTATCTACGCTTTCCTTCTCTTCGTCGCCGATCATACCCCAGACCCCCTCCGCCACCACCCAGATCAGCAAGACAACCTCGCCAGCCTCGCCCAGCGCCTCTGCCACCACCTCCGCCACCAGCCAGACAACCTAGACAACCTCGCCAAGCGCGCCCACACCCCCAAAATGCCTAGGTAAGCTGAAAGGCTCATGCACTCTGAAAACCTTACAAACTATTTTGGGCCTTACAAAGCAAGGTTGCTTGTTGTAACGAAGTATTTTGAGCATACATAGGCTTATGAAGAGAATACTTCTGAACTAACTGTTTCTTCATAACTAGGAAGGTAGCTTGTTCCAATAAAGTATTTTGAACATACATTAGTGAAAACAATACATCTTAACTAACTGTTTCTTCAAAACAAACTAAATTACCTTGTATTATGTATGCTCAAAATAGTTCGTAAGGTTTCATCTCCGTGTGCTGTGGAAATTGTCTCTCATCAGTGTTTTGTACTTAGCAGTGCTCCACGGCACCTGTTCACTCGTCAACAAGTGCTGATGATTTACTCAGCTCCACGGGTCATTGCACAGTGTGTACAAATTTACACACTTGTGCCCCTGGACCCTGGGAATCGCACTAGCCATCATCATCAACATCGTCAACAGCCACAACGTCAGCAGCAACATCAATAACACCACCACCTTCCTCCATAGCCGGACTCATCCCTCAGTCACCCCCACCCCTGACCGCCTCATCAAAATCACTCTTCATTTAACTTTTAATTTTTGACAGACTTGTTAAGTGCCGTGTGTGAATGTGACTGAGTGATTGGGTGACTGAGTAAGTGTGTGTGTGAGTGAGTGAGTGGCCATTTTAATTGGCTGAGCGATAGCGAAGCCAGTTACTCCAGTGCGGTTGAAAAGTTTTGTCTGTCTGTGTGTCTGTCTGTCTGTGTGTGTACACTACTCCTCCTGAACGGCTCGGCCGATCTGGCTGAGATTTAGCAGGGTTATTAGGTATGTTCTTGGCTCGGCACACGCGAAATTTCACCATCCTAGCTCAACTGGTTCAGTTTTTATAGCCGAAAAACACCTTAAAAACGGCGAAAAATCGAGTTTTCTGTCGGTAGACCTCTTCTGTCTGGATGAAAGGGGGGTCTGGGGGGCGGGGCCCCCCAGCCTCAACAAGTTGAAAAGTTACAAGGGTCAAGATCGTGTAATTTGTAGATGAAGCACCTCTACCTAGAATGAAGGGGGGTCTGGGGGGCGGAGCCCCCCCGCATGCAACAGTTTAGAAGTAACTGATGGTGGGCAAGCATTGTCTGCCGAAGGCAGCCTAGCGCCGCAGGCCAAGGTAGGTACGCCAGGCGCGGATTGGAGGAACAGGCAGCGAGACATCGCGAAGCCTGTTACGACAAGACGCGGTCTGGCGTAAACCTACCTTGTTAATTCATTTCTTCATTTTTTTAATATTAATAATGTGGGGGAAAAAAAGGCAGATGAAATTTTTGGACAACTACGCACTATGCAACGACGCACTATCTTTTTAAGAATGTACCTGTGAACGCGTTGACAGTTCAAATTTTGAGGATGTCAACAAGCCATCCCAACCAAACCAGCACTCGGCTACGAGCGTATCCCTCCCTGGTGTCTGCCCTGGGCTCAGGGGAGGTATTGACCGCACGCCTAGCAGAAAGCATTCTTCGGTCATTTTGACAGCAGCCCAAAGCTCTGGATTTTAGGCCCCACGTTAATGGGAGCACGGTTTCGCGTCAAAATTATTGCAAGGGGCGAAGCCCAGGATCAAGTTCAGTTAATTTTCGGCCAGTGACGGCAGCAGTTCCGCCGGATAACCCAGCTTTAGCGCTATGAGAATGCAGGTTGGTTGACCCAACAACGGTGGTTCAGTACGGAATTCCTGTGTTTTCGGTATGTTAAAAATGGAATGCATGTTTCTGTGAAGTACTGCAATGGTACAAAGAATACACTTCATTTTTTTCTTCTCGTCGCAGGTGGTGCAGCAGCAGGGAGATACCCTCTATGTGCTACCGCACAGTGTCCATTGGGGGTTTAATCTCGGCCTGAATGTGAATGAGGGAATTAATATTGCTCCCGCATCGTGGGCCAAACATGGCATGATTGCTCCAACACGATGCTGTTGTCTCAGGTATAAATACACCTTGCTTTTGCTTTCTTTTCACTTGTTATTTTCTTTCATAACTTATCTGTAACTTGGTTTTCTTTGCCTTTGATTTTTTTTTTTAAAGTCCTGATGACGAAGAAAAAAGCCAATTAGACGTGGTCCCCCTGCTGGAGAGGATTGGCATTGATGCTGCCACAATCCAGGACTTACAAAGACAACTGGTTGGCTGAGCGATAGCGAAGCCTGTTACTCCAGTGCGGTTGAAAAGTTTGGTCTGTCTGTCTGTGTACACTACTCCTCCTAAACGGCTCGGCCGATCTGGCTGAGATTTTGCAGGCTTATTAGGTATATTCTTGGCTCGGCACACGCGAAATTTCACTGTCCTACCTCACGTAGTTCAGTTTTTATAGCCAAAAAACACCTAAAAAACGGCGAAAAATCGAGTTTCCTGCAGGATGTATCTACAAGTAACAAAAACGGTACGGGGACAGTTAGCCGATATTCAAACCAGCCCGGCACTGCCGCTGGGGTCGAATTGGTGTCAACTTTACGGTTCGAATGAGACGGCTTTTCACCGAGCGTAAGGACTCATGTTGGAGACTTTCATCCTCTCCTCCATCATTTGGCTCGTTGGCATTCCAAAAATACAGTAGATCCATTTTTAAAAAAATACGATTTCAAGAAATCCTAGGAGTCACGAAGTCAATTTAGGTAGGAGTGTGGAGAAAGCAAAAAAGTTATGTAAAAGGTAGGGGGTGGCTCAAGGGTGGCTACGAACGGCAGTGGTACCAATGTGGTCGATGTGCCACCCGTCAAAATTTAACCTTGGCATTAAAGAGAAATCAAAATGCCGGGAAATTCGAAAAATTCCAATGCTAATGTATTCCACAGTGATCTGACAAAGGAACATCTTTGAAGTCCATCATTATGAAAATTTTGGTAGCAGAAAGAAGGCAGTAAATTAATTTTCGCGGGTTGGCAACAATTTTGTCGGCGTCTGCGCCCTTGCGAAAATCGCGAAGCTGAAAACACGAGTATCGTCGCGCATTAAAACCGCCCCTCCATTGTTGCTGACGTTGAATTGTTTGGCTTGTTTCAAAAGGCTACGGTTCTCTAGTCATGTTTTCTTCAATTCTGTGTAATAGTTCTCACTCACAACGTTGCAACACCACGACGGTTGGCTTGACAAACTTTATAAACTCGAGAGGGATGGTCTCGAAACGCGGGTGAGTCTTGTTCGAGGAACATGAGCACTGAAAGTCGCGAGGTGCAGCGAAGCGATCATGGTGCTAACTGAATCAGAAGTATCATCAAACCTCGCTAAAAGGAGCAGCTATACATGACCAGCTTATTCAAAAAGAAACTAAAAGTCTTAAAGCGACTCTTAAACTACATTAAGGAAAGATAATTCACAGATGCATGTGCACTGGTACGCAGTTAAATGGCTCAATTCACTCAGATTTGAAAACAAAAATTTTCAACAAAACAACAACAAAAACAACAACGCAGCGGTGCGGGATTGGTGCGGGACACTCTCATTAAAAGTCACTGGCCGGCCGGCCGATCCAAATGGCCACGTTCGAAACGACATCAATTCTATTGTTGCATCTTCTCTAGCTGCAGTCAAAGAGATTTTTCATTTCGAACGTGCTTTTTCAGCTTTTGAAGTAAGCTGTACAGAACCAAAAAGAAGCTCGGCTATTGGTCCGCCCCGACTCCGGCTCCCCCCACTCCCTTTTTTTTCCCTTGACGAGTCGAGTTTTGCCATGGAAACGGCGATTTTGACAGCAAATTTCTCAAAATTGGCCGGTAACTTTTTAACTATATTTCAGCATCAGAATCAGCGTTCAAAGTTCTACTAGTGTGCAAAGTCTCATTAAAATCGTTTAGAAAATTTCCGAAATGCATAAAGGGCCACACAAATTGAATCTCGGGCCGGCTGAATCCTGGGTATACTATAAGGCTACTTCGTGCCTAAAAAACTAATTGAATTGCAGAATGGTATTGCGTATGTGATATTTCCGCGTGGTTTCGGTGGTCGGGTGAGAGGTTGGGTACTGACGACACGCGCAGGGGTACCCTGCCCTGGCAACCCGCACAACACTTGCACTGCGCCTTCTCGGCACGGCAGTTCTACCCCTTTGAATGCACCCAACCAGCAAGGTGTCAGTCACTGTTGCCCTGACTCACATTGGATCGCTCCCCAGAGCCGGCCAACAGTCGGTAGCCTCGTCTCGAGCTGTGTGGTTCTCTCCAATAAACCAAGCCAACCTCTCTCTACACTCCAAATCCGGGGTGTCTAGAAACTATACGCCTTAGGCGTATGCCACAGAAAAGCGAGCGCCTTAAGGCGCCTCGATTTTAGACGCCAAAGGCGTATACCCCATTGAGCACCTTGTGCAGATAGAAGTCAGCATGTGATCACCATTGGTCGAAGGAAAGGTGCGTGCATTGTACACACCCTGGATCATAGGCACTGAGCTCAACAGGACTCTAGGTGCGTAGAATGTAAAGTAAACACCCTCTAAGGCCTCGGTAGGAATGGCTTCGGCCAAGGGTGGTGTTTACATTCTACGCACCTAGAGTCCTGTTGAGCTCCGTGCCTATGATCCAGGGTGTGTACAATGCACGCACCTTTCCTTCGACCAATGGTGATCACATGCTGACTTCTATCTGCACAAGGTGCCCAATGGGGTATACGCCTTTGGCGTCTAGAATCGAGGCGCCTTAAGGCGC